GGAGTGGGCAGGGAGCTCTCACAGAGATTTTGCTGGAGTGTATGAGCATGCAGTTTCTGTTTCCGAGCCCTAGACTGTATTAATCCCATGCTTTCTGCATCTCTGCTAGATTGTCTATAAATTTAGGAAGGTTATATGGATACTATGTTTTCACGTTATAATGTATATATCCAATATATTTCAGCTAAACCTTTTAAGGAAATGCAGACAATGCAGCATAACCATCCCCAACTAAAACTTTTTGTCTCATAATTCATCTAGCTCTCCACTACAACTAATGTGTAAGCATTTCTCAAGGAGCTGTATAAAAACGAAATTGTGCTAAATGCCTTTTAAAATTACCCAGTCTAAACTAGAGCCACAAGCAATAAAACAAATTGCCCTGAAAATCCTAGAGGGGGGGGAAATGGGCTATAGCCCTGCCCTGCCAGTACAGCCATGCAGCATGCAGCTGATACGCCAGGAGTAACTATTTCTGGCAATGCTTCCTCTTCCTTTTAAACTTGCTTCTTGAATTCCCAACCTAGCACATTTTACCACTGATGTCCCATCAACATCTTCGGCATCCCATCAATGTCACCATTTCTCCCAGTCCTCTTCAAATTTCCCAGAAATCCATAATTTCTGTAAATCCCACCATCCCCCTCCTTCCCACAGAGGTTGTCCCATGGTCTTTCACCAAAACCATTATACAAGTAAACAAGTTTGGCATCAGCCTCTTTGGCTCCCATAGATAACTTTCTTTTTATCCACTGTAGATCTGCTCCTTAATTTGTCTATTCTCTTCACATCTCTTTTTCAATAATTCCTATCTCCAATCTCTCCAGCTTTCATAGTTTTCTTATTTCACTCAGACCAACATCAGATGTGTTTCTCTGTCCTGCTATCCCTTCTTTACTTCGTTGTTTCCCACATAACCTGGATTTCTACATTTTTTTCAAAGGACATCAAGAAGAGTAGTAGAAATGAGAAGCCAGCTGTGAAAAAAAAACAGGACTTAATGAGACTGAACCACTGAGCACTAAAATGGTAGATGAAGTCCAAGGTTAATAAATGTAAAGCATTGCACATAGGAAAATTTAGCCTATAAAACGATGATCTCAGAGATGACCACTGCCACCCAGCAGCACGATTTTGTGGCTATAATAAATAGTTCAATGAAAATGTCACCTTGGTGCTCAGCAACAGCCAAAAAAGCATGCAAACTGTTACGAGATGACAGGGAAGGAACAGACAGAAAAATAAAGGAGGCCATTGTGCCACAGGATAAATCCCTGCTGCACCTGCACTGTGAATACTGTGTGAGGACTTGGTCGCTCATCTCAAACATGATAAAGTAGACCTGTGAAGGGTTGAGAGAACAGTGGTCAGAGTAATTAAAGACATGGATCAGCTCTGATAGGAGGAATGAGAAACTCATTAGGCTGCAAACAGACAGCTGAGGTGGGACATAATGATAGAAGTGGGTAAAATCTTGTGGGTCATGTGGATTCTAATCAGGAATCTGTATCTTGGCATTGAAGTAGGCTGGTAAGGAGCAGGTTCAGTACAGAAACAGCGCGATGGTTTAGCATTCAGTGCATAGCAAGTGTAGAACTTCTTGCCAGAAGAGATCATAGAGGCTAACAGGTACAAGGCTATAATGTCTATAACTCAGAAATGATTAGGCACCTCCATGGAAGGAAAATCTGTCAAGGGCTATTAAATAAAAAAATATCACATTTGGCTCAGGAAGTCCTTGAGTTGCAAATGACTGGAAGCTGGGAGACCATCCTGGGGAAAAATCACTTATGTCACTGCTTTTATATTCTTCCCTAGGTATTCACTGTTGTTCTCCATCAGAGACAGGATATTGAGCCAGATGGACTTTTGGTTTGACCTCATATAGCCTTTCTGATGTTCTTATGTTTATATTCTTAACTGACTGTATGGATGCTCTTTGCACTTTCACCTTCCACTAAATAATGCCAAAAAAAAACCCCTCACGTTCCTGCCTGCAGCAGCAAAGTGAGGCTGAGAAAAACATCAGCCCCAGTGCATATTTGCTGAAAAATCCTTCCCAGATAAATTTGGATACTTACTCTTTTACTCTTTTAGCCTAATGTCAGACTAAGTGTCATTGCTGAAAAAACATTCTCTCTGTGGCTCTGATCACCCGAAACAATTGGTGCAGACCTCTCCTCTTTCACTGACTCTGTATAGCCTTCTGAAATCCAATCTTAAAACCTGACTTTCTAGCCTCCCTTCAACCCCTTCATTTCTGTCTCTCCTGGTTATTGGTCTTATGACTGAATGCTTTAATATTTTCACCATGCAAGGTCTTTATGTCACTGTTTCATGTAATTTATACTTGTGAGCTGGAGTCTTTCCCAACTCACTTTCAAGCACAGGCCATGTACTGAATGGAGTCCAAAATTATCCCCACCCCCTTATTGCTTTGGGGGTTTGGCTTTATTAGCAAGGATATAAGCAATAAGAAAATAAAGTTCAGCTGTTTCTAAGGCTTCTCCCTCATGACTGCTTAGCCAGTATCCTAGACGGCTTCTCCCCAGCAAGCCATTTTTATCTCTCTTTTAGACAAGGGAACTAATAAGCCACCTACCTCAGTGAGTCAGCAGAACCCACTTAACCCTTTCCCAGAAGGGTCAGAACTCGCTATCAGGCTGGTTTGGCTCAGGCTGGTTACAGAACCATATTCTGCCCCTCAGTCTTGAATAATTTATTTGTGCGGCAGACCTGGATTGCTGTTTAAATCAAAATGCTACCCAAACAAAGGCTGTGCTGTGCAGTGCAAAATGAAACCAATTACTACATCGTATGATGCTCATCTTTTACAGTGTGAGATGCCCCCTACAGTACCTGCAGAGGACAGGCGTTTCTGTCGAGAGCAGCAGCAGCCTTAGGAAGCAGGAGAGATTTTCAGAGGGAACAGCCTTTGTAAAAGAGCAGATTCAGAAGGTGTTGTGCACTTTCACTTTGATCCATCAAAACTGAAGTAACCACTTACTGTTGTAAGGAGACAGAGGACGGATCTGGTGCTCACGCTTGAGATCTTTTTAAAATTGAAATTAAAGTAAGCTCCAATTAAGCATAAGCATCACATTGTTTCGCACAGAGCAACTTTAGCAGAGGTGAAGAATAGCAGAAAATACCTATTTTAGCAGGCTGCAGAAATTCAATGTAAAATCTCTGAATGTGGATCAAAGCCTGAAATGTCACCACTTTAAAGAAAAACCTCAGAGAACTATGCAGAAGTAAGGGATGCATTGTATTGTATTGTGTATTATATTGCAGTAGCAGTGCACTATAAGCCTTGCAGCACCTCTGAGTGCCTGGAACATTAACAAGACAATGTTCCTTGTGTACTTCAAAAATGAAATCTGTGCTTACTCATAAAAAAAAAAAAAAGACACAAGTAAAATATGCTCTTCCTATTTTTCTAGCCCTGGTATTGTTCAATCACCTGATTTTGAGACTCCACTCACCTGACAATAAGCAGCTATCATTTGCCCTGGTCCTGGCTGTCAGAAAGAGTAATCTTTATCTTCAGAGAAGCAGGGATAATGTCTAATCAGTGAGTTAGAGTCGAGGTAAATGATGCTAAGTTTAGGAAAATTGGCACCTGCATTTTGTTATTAGTAACCATTATTTAGATAGCATTGCTGATGTGTGTAGCGTCATACAGAGACGGACAAAAACTAGACTCTGTGGAGCTTACAACCTATATTACACAATTAAAATAGAGAGAGGTGTTAGCATAACAGTATAGGGAGCCCTAAGCATCACAGTGAGAGAGAGAAGACAGGAAAGACAACTTTCTGTGAGAGAGTGATGCTGTGCTGTTGCATCATCCCTTCACTGGTGTTTAACATTCAGTTCTGCCAGAGGGCCCAGAAAGGGAACAGATAACTCCAGAGAAGAAACCCAGAACAACTGGCTGAGGTGTTTGTAAGAGAGAGGTGGAGGATGTTTCCTGGTAACAAAAAGTTGCAACACACCAACTAAACCCACCACCTCCTAAATCAAGCTTCAGAGCACCACACTCAACAGACGTACATTTTGTCCTTAGAGAAGTCTCTGCGCAGTCTTCTACCAACACTTCAGCTATACGCTGTTTTATTATGAGGTCAGTTTGTGTATCACTCTTTTCCAGTACGGTAATTGTCTTGAAAATCAAGACATGACAATCTGACTATAGACGTGGGAGCACAGACTCAGCTCAGCTGCATACAACACAACAAGTTGAAGCCAGTGCTCCAGAAACCCAGCATACACTAACACTAATCTTCACTCTAACTCTAAATCTTGAAGTAGATTTTAGACTGATGGCGGTATTACTGCATTTTCCCAAAGTTGGCCTGAAGTTATTTGCAGGAACCAACCATGGAGCAAAGGTAATTTCATCTAAAAGACAAATATTGTACCATGTGAATACATTCATTACTGCCTTATACTTCTAAAAAGAAGGAGGCATTTTCTTTTTTCTAGCATTTGACTTTACTTCATCTACTCAGTGAAAGAAAACAGTGCCTGTATTCTCCTGAACAGTCTTATTTCTGTAGACATTTATAAGACTGGAGAAGAAAATGGAGCCTTTCTAGCAATATCTTCTCAAGTAAAATTGATCAAGACAGGAACTCTCCAAGTTCCTAGAAAAGCTGTTGGCTTCTGCCTTTTATGATCAAAAAAGTCCTAGAAAAATGTATGTTCGGTCTTTAACAAAACTAGGAAATTGAAATAATCAAAATGAGATGTGATTGTCTTTTGAATGGAGGTGCTACCATTACTTTGCTCCTGAAACATCACCTGGCTTCTAACACTGTGTTCCTACCTACATTGATCATTTAATACTAGCATCTTCTTTCTGAAAAACCACAAACACTTCCAAAACTTGACCTCTTCCCTTTATCGCTTTTGATTAAGAAAAGAACTATCTGCAGGAAATGCCCTGCAAACCACAAAGGATTATCAGAAATATAATGATGAGTGATTCTGGGACTCTTACACTCTGCTTGTGTTCCTCTAATCTGATCCTTGGTCACTCTTCCTTTCTCCGACGGAGCTTTGCTGTAGTTTCTTCTAGTCGGCTTCTCCATGCAGCAATAATAGCATCATCATCCAATTCTTCTTCCTCCTCTTTACGCACACTTCGCTTGTACTGAGAGAACTGTCTAGATGCAAATCTCTCTTCACTTTGTTCCACTTTTGCCTCTTTCTTTCCATTCTCTTCAGACTTTGAAAAGCTCTGGGTGAACTTTCTCTTAGCTCCAAATTCTGACATGTCTGACATGGCCTCCTCTTCACACGCCTCCACATGATGAGATCTGACTCGACTCTGTGTAGATGATTCAGGGGATTCGGAGTCAAAGGATGGTTCTGGTGTTTGGCTGAAAACATGCAGTTCTGGGCTTTTTTCACCAGAACTTGCTGTCTCACTGACCCTTGACCTTGTGAACTTATACATCTTTTTGTCCTCTTTTGCCGAAGCAGAGGAAAATCTTGACATGGTTCTCAGTGAATCTCCTTTTGACTCATAGGAAGAACTGTCAAGCTCTTCTCTCTGGGATCTGGAGAATCTGTAACTGGATGTTTCAGAATCCATCTCTCTTACTTTGGATGACCTGCTGTATTTCTCTCTGAAATTCTCACTTTGATCATGATATGATGACTGTTTTTCTGTTTTCAGGCTACTGAGCCACTTGGTAACATCAGTCTCTACTTCTGACTTCAGTGCACCTGTGTTTGCAGATAGACTGGACAGAGTAAAGATTGTATCGTTTCTGTCTAGATCTGCTTGCAATGGGTGCCTGTAGTTGTTCGTTATCCTCTCCACATCATCTTCTACTTCACTTTGCTCACCTTTGGTCACCTTTTTTTTAAATAGAGTGCTGCGTTTATTGTCACTTATCACCTTTTCAATTTGGTAATCTGACATTTTCTCTCTCATTTCCATTTGCATCTCCTTCTCCTTCCTGCTGAGTTTCTTTAGGTCAACATCATCGGCAAAGAGGCTATACAGTGGTTTGCTTGTTTGCATAGTCTTCATGTTTGAACTAGTCCCTTCTGCCCTCCCACTTACAGAAGTATTGCAAGACAGGACAGACTGAGACTCAGCTCTGTGCATGTCCTGCTGACCGAGATGAGAGGCAGAAAAAGATGAGCCGCACTGAGAACTGAGAAGGGAAATCTTATCATCATCTACACGCCTTCCAAGGTCTCCTGACATTACACTGGAGGCCATTGCAGACGATGGACGGGACAGCATCATGATCTCATTTTGCTTTTGAGCAATGGTTTCATTGACCACGTTAGCAATCCAGTTCTGAATGCTTGCCATAGATATCGTGTCACCTGGGCCAACTGGGAGATTGGGAAGGGGAATATTTGGCTGTGTTGCCCCGGTGCTGCTCCTGGCCTGTGATAAAGATGAATGATTTGTCTTCATGCTCAGTGTAGAAGCTGCATCCTCAGCACCATTCGCAGAGGGCGCTGAGGCCCAGAAAGCAGACAGCGGGATGCTCCCACTCATTGTGCTGTCTGTCTCCCAGCTGCACATGGACTGGCTTTCTTCTAAAATTTTCTTTGAACGTTCAAGGAGTTCTACACGTCTCTGCTTCTTTTTAGCTGAAGCAGAATCTTCACTTTTGGCAAACTCTACAAATTCCTCCTTGCTTTCACAGCCCACCTTCTTCTGCCGCTTCATTTTCCAAGCCTGGTAAGCACTCAGGTTAACATCTGACAAATTCTTCCCTTCAGTCCCCTCCTCACCAGTCTGGCTGCCATCTTCTGCTGGAGATGGTGCAGAAGACGATGATGATTCTAAATCCTTCTTGTGAAAGCCAAACTGGATCCTCTTGATCTTCCACCTTTCTAGAGGAGTCAACTTGTCTTTGTTCTTTTGGCAGAAATTATAGAAGGAGCTACATTCTGACAACACACTTTCCTCATCCACATCCCTCTCCTTTCTTCCTGTTTCTGGGGATTGTCTCTCCCCACCATTCTTATTCTTAGAACGATACCTCTGGACAGCTTCCTTCTCAATCTCCATCAGCCTCTGGTTCCACATGTCCCAAGTGCTCTCTGAAGACATGGAGTCTGAGCGGCTCCTCCTCATCCTGCTAAAGCTGCTTGCTTCCAACTGTCGCTTTAGGGTTCGGATCTCAAAACTGCTCACACTCTCATCATCACTAAATTCACCTGATTGGTAAGGTCTTCCTCCCATGTAAGAATTTCCATCCTCCTCTCTGGGTGGACCCTCCATTTGGTATTTCTCATTTCTGCACTGCCAGTCATGGATCCTCCGATCCACATCCTCCTCATATTGCTCCCCTTCCTGAGCCAGAAGCCTTGGCGACACTCTTTTTCCATTCTCAGTTGCTGATTCCTTTGCAGGTAGGCCTTGTTTCTTCCTCCATTCCTCATACAACTGTTCCTCTTCCTCCTCACTGATGAGGGTGGAGCGTTTGGAAACCCAGCTAGTTTTTCCCACTGATGAAGAGCTCATAAAACTACTTAGCATGCTGATGTTGTCTTCTTCTTCTACTGTGATGGAGTGTGCTTTGGGTCCTATGACACTTTCGGAGTCCTTAGCTCCAGACAGCCGGGAAGATGTCCCAGGGTGGGTGACAGGACTTTGACTAGGAGTGACATCTTCATCTCCAGTATGCTCCAGCTCTCGTTCCTCCAGTAATTGCTCGTTAAGCTCCCTTAGCTGTTTGAGGAAGCCATCATTGGGGTAAATGGCACGCTTCTTTCTCAGAGTCATCAGAGCCTCCAGAATGGTCATATGGTGATAGATCATCAGGTAAGCAGCCACCAGCACAGCTGAGCGACTGATTCCCATTTCACTGCTGACAAGGATTTTTCCTACAGACATGGAACACAGAAGTAATTAGCTGTTTCTAAAACAGAGAGAAGTTGCTGTGCACAAATACATTCTCTGAATACTGCTAAAAAACAGTAAAACTCTAGATACTTGTGAACAAAAACCACATCAGTTTCAAAAGCTGTGGGCATGCACATTTTAAAACAAGCTAAACAACATTCATATTTTCACCTATACAATTCATTTCCCCAAATAATCAAAAAGCTTATAGTAGGTATTAGAAAGAAAAGTGATGCAGTATTCCTGACTCCCAGGCTGACATAGGGTAAGACATGTAAGCTTTCCAGGCTTTAGTTTTCCCATGTGTGAAAAGGGAGCTGTTAGCGGTAGCCTCCAGGAAGGTATTGGGGGGATACACAAATAACATCAATTAGGAATATCATAGGACTTTTAAATAAACTTTTATATTAATTTAATCTTTTTTTTTTTCTTTTTTTTTTTTTTTTTTCCCAGAGCACATATCTGCTGTTTTGCAGGGCACACAAAATCTGTTATGGGTAGACTGGCTAGAGGCCAGAGCCAGAGTAAATCTCAGAATAGAAGGACCAAGCAACTAGAGGAAGAGAGCTGATTTTCACTCCAGTAAGCTGATGCAGGTACTTACTCCAAAGTTTGGGACCCACTGTTCTTTAAACAGTGAGAGCCAGAATGATCTGCTGTATTTCACAGTCTTTACACAGTAACCATATCTTGCAAAAAAACCTAAGCTTTGGCACAAGAAGATTGTTTTTTAAATATAGTTTTATAGCAAATTAAAGTTAAATAAAAGCTTGTGAATACAAAGAGAATAAATGAGGCCTTCCTAGCCTGAAAACAACTAGCATTATTGTTCCCTGATGTGTGATAAACTCCAATTTATCAACGTGTTCTTTGCACTGAAGCTTAATGAAGCCAGTTTAAACACCTCCTGCCTGACTGTTGATGTGTTACCATGGGTATTTTCTTAATGCACCTACTTCAACACTTTCCAAATAAATGTATTTTACATCTTTCTTAGTACCTAGTTGTCTTCCAAGTGTTTCAACAGCCAGTAAAACCTATCTAATAGCTCATCCAAAGTGGGAGATCTCATTCCTCTTCTTTCTTTCTTCTGTCTGCTTCTTCCCCTGTGTAGTCTTTGGTACCACTTGGTCATCTAGTTCAGCTTACTAGCCTAGTAAAAAATCATCTCTTCCTTGGAGGACAGTTGGATTTGCTGTCTTTGTGAGCTGAAGTCAACAGTGACACAAAGTGAGCATCAGTCATATGCAAAGGGAATAAATGGGAGTTATGAGTAAGAACATGGAGGAGCAGAGTGTCCCTCCTCTTGTTCATAGTGGTGAGCTATTGAAAATGGCTTTCTGTTTTGTATGAGGCACCGCAGAAATGGGCAGTAAGTGTTCACCATACCTGGATACACAGAACAATGAATCTACCCTCTACCCATTTAAAAATGTAGCATCCACTGTTTATCAGAGTAGCACTTCCATTCATTAATTCCCAAGCACTCTAAAGTAGTACAATCTTTTTGCCTTACCCCTGTAAGTCAGCAGTGCTTCATCCATGAATTCTGCAGCTGGATGGAAGTGTTTGGAGATATCCATATCTGGAAAATCATCCACTTCAATGCCCATGTATTGGATATTCAGACCATTGTAGAAATCTGGTCCTGTGTATACACCTGTACCATGAGCTGCATTCAAGATATGTGTAATGCCCAGCCTCTTCAAACGACTTTTGTTCACTGCAACACTCCTTCAGAAAAGAAAAGAAGGTGTTAGATATCAGTGTTCCTATTTCAGGTAGTAAAAAAGCGGTGTGCTGCAAGAGCTACCCAATTCCCAATCTGTGTCACTCATCAACACATGGCTCCCCTCAGACCTTAAGGTCTTTTGAGAGTTCTGCAAACATTTCTCTACAACACTCACTGGGAAAAGATAAACCTGCACTCATCAGTATTGCTGCGCACTCTGTTTCAACTTCAGCTTGATTTTAAAATCATCCTGCCATCTTAGGTTCATGCAATTTACTTATTTCTCCATCTTTATTATCCCACAATTGATGTTTTAAACTGCATCCCCTTCTAATTTTGTGCTGGTCGGTCAGCTTACAGGTGTCTCAGCGATACAGGAGACCTGGCCATTTCCACTCCACGTTTGCTATGGTATTTCTTTTTCAATTTTCTTTTACACAAGAAGGCCTTTAGTCCCAATTTCAAGGCCAAATTCCAACAAGAAGAGCTCAATTTGGGCTCATTTTCCTTTTCTTTTGCTACATTTTCTGAAGCTTTAAAATAGCATAGGAAAGCTGCTGAATTCTGATCCAGACGTATTTACTTCTCAGCACACAGAGATCTTTGTACTATGTGATCTGTGCAAGCATAAATATGTGAACACATATTCAGATGGCACAAAGTTGCTCAGAAGGAGCAGTGAGGCAGTGGCACCAGCTACCCAAGGAATAGGGTGGAGTCAACTGTCCCTGGAGGTATTCAAGACCATATAGATGTGGCACTGAGGGACATGGTTAGTGGACATACAGTGGGGATGGCGTAGTGGTTAGACTGGGTGATCTTAGTGGTCTCTTCTAACTTTAATGATTGTATGGATCTATGATTTACATTCTAAAAAACACTGTGTCTTTTTAGGGATGAAAGGTATTAGATGCATGTAATATATGTTGTGCCTTCAGTGGTTCCATCTCACCCTTCACTGGGAAACTCATGCAACTTGATACAAAGGCTGACACTCACTTTTCTGCTATGAAGACATTAGGCCAGACTTCATCCACAGCATCTCTGGGAGTCTCCAGCCTGTCCTTTACAAGTGCCCTCTGCAAGTCCATGACACACGGAGTGTTAAACAAGCTGGTGTCATCAATCTTTTCCTTAACTCGGTTGTACAGGTCTTCCACCATCAACTGCTGTGCAGACTCTAACATCTTGGGACACACTGCATCTACCTTGATGTGCTTCGTCTTCAGTTCTGGAACAAACTGACAATTAACTAAAATCATGTAAAAACAAATCAAATACACAATATGTCATTCTTTGCTCCTAAAATAATGCTTGTGGATTTTTTTTTTCCCTGGGACCTCACACTGTCCTGTCTGCAAAGCATGCACATACATGCTTACCTAGTAGCCTGAAGGATTTTATAATGGGAAGAGAATAGTCCTCTTAGTCCAGAGATACAACGGATTGGGAGTTAAAGTGCATGCTCATTCCAGCCCCAAAAGAATTGGAAGAAGACACTACTGCAGCAAGCAACTAGCAACCAAACCATTTCCACCACTGTAGTACATGCTTCTGACACAGATTCAGTCCACAACTTCATAGGAAGTCACCCAACCATTCTGTATGTTGTTATTTGCTGCCCAGAGATGTGGTGAGTAGATGGTTGGACTACATGATCCTAGAGTTCTTTTAAACTTTAATGATTCTATAATTCTATGATTTCTTCATGGTTTTCACCTCTGCCCCAGATGTGGTTTGCGCATAAAGGCTTTTTTCTGAATGTAAAAGGCAAAACAATTGCAACTCAGGTCTCTACTATGAACGTACTTCTTTTAACATTTCCTCCTCTTACCTTCACTGATTATTTGTTTGGCAGCCACACCAGATGACAGATGGATAGGCTCCATGAATATGCTCTCGGTATCAGTGTCCGAAATCATCGAGTACCTGCCAACCAACCACACTTCCTATTAGGCAAATGCTCTCTGCTGGGATCCCATCTCCATGACCCATGATCCCATTAACCTTATACCCATTCTAGAAGACAACAAGAGGGAACTGGAGCAAAAAGGATCTACTGATCATAGAATGGGAGCCCAGCTCTTCTTCAGCCTGCACACTGCTCTCCAGAAGAGAGCTAAAGGCTTCAAATATGCCTTTCAATCTGTATAAAAAAGGTCGAGAGGGAGAGAAGCTCCAGTGAGCTGGGAGTATAGAAGAATAGGCCAGTGAGGAAGGTTTTGGGCAGAGAGATGTCTGGTTTGAGACAGGAAGAGGGATGGATCAAATAAAACAGTCTCACAAATAGCTCTCACCTCAACAGACAGACATGAATGTTGTCCTATTAAACAATTTAAAACTAATTATGATACAAAAATGCCATTTGTTTTCTGTTATCCAATTGTCTGTATGCATCCTTTGGGTTATGACGAGCAATACAAGCATTAAGGTTGAAACTGTCACTAGCGGTGTTCCTCAGGGGGTCAATATAGGCGTCCATTCTGTTTAATATTCTCTGATGACCTGGATGAGCAGATTGAGCATCCTCAGTAAATTTGCAGATAACAACAAGTTTGGAGGAAGCATCAATCTGCCTGAGGGTAGGAAGGCGCTACAGAGGGATCTGGACAAGCTGGATCACTGGGCTGAGGCCAATGGGATGAAGTTCAACAAGACCAAGTGCCAGCTCCTGTACTTTGGCCACAGCAACCCCAGGCAACACTACAGGCTTGTGGCAGACTGGCTGGAAGACTGTGTGGAAGAAATGAACCTAGGGATGTTGGTCCACGCTCAGCTGAACATGATCCAGCGGTGTGCCCTAGTGGCCAAGAAGGCCAATGGCATCCTGGCTTGTATCAGAAACAGTGTAGCCAGCAGGAGCAAGGAGGTAATCACCGCCCTGTGCTCAGCACCGGTGAGGCCTCACCTCGAGTATTGTGTTCAGTTGTGGGGCCCTCACCACAAGACATCAAGACCCTGGAGCCTCAGAGAAGAGCAGTAAAGCTGACGACGGTTCTGGAGCACAAGTCTTATGGGGAGTGGCTGAGGGAATTGGGATTGTTCAGTCTCGAGGAGGCTCAGGGGAGACATTATTGCTCTCTATAACTGCCTGAAAGGAGGTTTGTGGTGAGGTGGGGATCAGCCTCTTCTCCCAGGTAACAGCAATAGGACAAGAGGGAATGGTCTCAAGTTGTGGCAGGGGGGGTTCAGGTTGGGTATTAGGAAACACTTCTCTGAAAAAGTGGTGAGGCATCGGAAGAAAAGGGGGTGGGGGAGAGAAAGGAGGGGAAGAGAAAGGAGGGGAGGTGAGAAAAGGCACGCGGGCCCCCCCTTACTTTGAATGATGGTCAACAGAAGAAGAGTGATTTATGAAGATCAACATCTAGTTTTACTTTATATGAGCTCAGTGAATTTCCTAAACAATTCTTGAATGCATGTAATTAAACGAAATGAGCATTCTGCCTACATTTTTCTGCAGTGTCCCACAGCTGAGGATCCTAATGTGAAATGTTTCATAGCCTTCTGATTGAAGAGGTTGATGGAGCAGATTTTTTTCAAACAGACCCCTCCTCCCTGCCTTCAGCTAACGCATCTCAAAGTGTATAGAAAGTCCTGCAGAGCATTTTGCTTAGGAAAGGACTAAAAGGGGTTACTTAGATATGGTACTAAGGAACACGGTTTAGTGGGCAATACTGGTGGTAGGTGAATGGTTGGATAGATTACCTTGGAGGTTTTTTCCAACCTTAGTGATTTCATGATTCTGTGACTTTTTTTTTCCATGTTTTAGGAGTAAACCATGCTTTTTTTACGTGCACTAACTCACTGCTTGCTCAATGGCAGCTTCCTGTTCGGCACCCAAAGCCTACAGCTAAAGATAGCTCTCAACCAAACCCAAATCTAAAGATCCAAAGTCTTTCTTGGGGGAAAAAAAAAAAAAAGGACCAGCATGGACATAAAACATCCACAGATCCTTGTAGTGGGCAGAAAAATAGACTATGTGCTTTTAAAGAGAAAAAAGGAAAGGCAGATCACACTCACCGACTGGGTGAAGGGCTGCGCAGGTAGTGGGCCTGCACTGATTTCACGTCTGGGCCATCCTTCTCTTCATCAGGCACCACTTGCTCGCCGTCTGAATCCCCGCCGCTGGCCATGGCAGCTGAGGGAGGCTCCACTGGAAGGGAGGAACCTGCAACACAGCACCTTTACATGTAGCACCAGGCTGGTGGTGAACCCTGCCACAGGGTGGGCAGAAGGGTTCGCACATCTTCCCAAGCAAGGCGGTGGTGCAAGGAGCTGTGTTGGCTTCTCTGCCAAGGCACCTGACGATCCTGTGTCCTCGTGCCGCTCGCTGGCTGGTGCCCAGCACGCACCAGGGCCTTCCTTGCCCGTGAGTAAGCATGCAGGAAGCCAGGAGGAAGGCTGGCGGGGCAGAAACTCTATCTCCCCCCTGTGCATGGTCTCTGTATGGAGCTGTATGCCGCCAGGCTGGGACGGGAGAGCGTCAGAGAAAGAAACATGAGACCTCACCTCCCCAGCATGAAACGTTCCTCCAGTTCCAAGCCACAGCCGTGGTTTCGGCCAGCCTTAACTCTCAGGTTTTGTCCTTGTAGCCCTTTGCTGGGAGGCAGCCGTGCTTACCCAGGACGGCCATTGCTTGGCCTGGAGCTTGAAAACACATCTGCTGCCACCTCCCTGGGTGGAAGCAGCAAGCTGACAGGGCAGCAGGGAGGCAGAGAGCAAGGAAATGGCACTTACCGCCTGTGCCTGGATGAAGGGCTATGTCCCCGTCGGGGCACAGCGAAGGAGCCCTGAGAGCGGGGCAGGAAACCTGGCAGGGAGCTGTATAAGGGAGAGAAACCCACTGCCCCCCTCTCTCCCCGTGCCTTCTTCATCGAGGGGCAGGACAACTGTCGGCACCGAGCCTTTATCAGCCCTCTAAATATAGCCTGTTCCTGTGCTGGCTGCTGGGCTGCACGGGGAGGAATTCAGTGCCTCACAGGCAGCAGCTGGTCAGCTGCTTAACTCCTTCCCTGCTGCAAGACCTATCCCCCTGTGCTTTTTCTCCTTGCAGGAGGCACACAGAGAAAAGACCAGAGCCGCCGAGGCTGGGCCTCACCTGCTGGGAGCCTCCAGGTGCCTGGGATCTAGCCAAGCACAACCTGAAATGCTAGGGTGACCCCTGATGTCATTGGGACACACAGTGAGGGGTGAGCCATGCTGAGCTTACTAGAAGCGAGTGGCATTTCACTTCTGGATAAGCTAGCACTGAAGTGCACTGCATCTTCCTCTGATACCACTTCAAAGAGGAAACCTCCATTCTGGACTTGCTGGCTCCCAGCAAAGCTTGACAGACCAGCTGGTGGGGGAGAACACTGTGGAAGCTGGAACCGCTGTTTACAGTACGGATGGCTCCAGTTTTGAGTCAGTTTTGAGTGATATCCCACTGTTGACTCCTTTTGCAAACATAAAGTGAACTAGAAAGGACATGTAAAAGGGCACTGACCCTTCTTATGGCATAGCTTTGTGCTGCCGTGGTGTGCTGGGCAGGGGTGCATCTGCCCTGTGCTTCATACCCGAGGGCTGCATCCCCACCATGGGATGGGGCCACATCTGCAGGGATGCTGCATGGAACAAGGAAGAACCACGAAGCAGGCACTCAGTTCTTTTGTGTACTCATAGCCTACTCTTGTCTTCATCCATTTACTGGGCCAGACAAGCAGGAACAAGAAAAAGTGATATATTGAATCTTGGGAGTCACACCAAGGGAGAAATGGATTTTGGATTACAGGTTTGAACAGATCCTAAAGTACCAAAAGAGGAAGAATTAGTTGATCTGACAGCTGTCTTCTCTGGACGATGCAAGTTTTAGCCATTTCTCAAAAGTAGTGCCACATGTGTTCATGTTAGTTCCTGGTAACTGAGGCAGGAAGTGATCCAAATAAGTTTGCTTATGGGCTCCCATATTATTGGAAAATGGAGTTTAGTTTCAGAAGCACATACACCATAGACATCCAATAAAAACTGATGCTTTTAAGTCACTGAATTGCTTCATAAAATCCACCTTGTGAATCTTCGGATACAACTGCATGTTAAACTTAGAATCCTAGAATCACTCAGATTGGAAAAGACCTCTAAGATCAACCGGTTCAACCAGTGACCCATCCCCCCCGTGCCCACTAACCACATCCCTCAGTGCCACATCCATATGATTCCTAAACACCGTCAGGGACGAGGCCTCCACCACCTCCCTGGGCAGCCTGTGCCAGTGCCCAAGGTATTTATAGCACAATCACCCACAGGTAGAGATTCCAATAGGACCACATATGTTACACAGAGAAACACAGACTGCCTGAAAGTTCTTCCTTACCTCTTGTTGTAACAGCTTATGGGATCATGATGGCAGTTCTTTTAGTGGTGGTGTCAATGCCTATGAGTTTTGCAGCACATACTAGACAGGGAAAGAAAATCAACACAGAAAATCAAACCAAATTAAAATCTCTTAAAACTGCCAGCTATCCCACTCCTTCTGCACACAGAGCTCTACAGAATTCCTATAGCTAAACTGTGCATTTGTCTCCCACGTTTATCACAAACTCCTGAGGCCCTCAAAAAAGAACTGTTGGGAAAAATTATCAGGATTTAAGAGTCCGAATATTCCAAACTAACAGGCGTGGTAAACAGAGGGCATCTAAACAAGTTGCTTAATATCAGATTTATGTACGTGTACTGAACATGCTGAAGCATATTCTGTCTATAGAACTTAGGGTAACAGATTTATCTAGCTAAGTCTCCAAAAACAGGGCATTATCCATCACAGTGCCAACGTAGTTACTTACTGCCTACAGAGACATCTGTAGACAGCAAAGAGTTTAAAAAGCGTGATGGCCAGCTGCACTCAGTTAAATGTAACATCAGGTATTTGCCAGAGCTGCTTTCAGCCCTCCTTTCATTCTCCAGAGTACAGGTTTGACCACGGCAGGCAGCCCCACACAGCCTCAGCACCACACAACCACTCTCCAGGTGGGGTCAGGGAGAGAATCATGATGGTAAAAGTGCAAGAACTCATGAGTTGAGACAAAGACAGTTTTCTAAGTCCATTACAAGCTGCATGCACAAGCAAACCCAAGCTAGGAATTCATTTGCTGCTTCCCACAGGCAGGCAGGTGTACAGCCATTCCCAAGAAAGAAGGGCTCAGCACCCATAGTGGTTCCCTGTGAAGACAAACACCATTGCTCTGAACGCCCTTCTCTTCCTCATTCTTTCTGCTTTTGTTGCTGAGCACGACATGTAGTGGAGGACATCCCTTTGGCCAGTCTGTGTCACTGTCTGGGCTGCATCCCTTCCCAGCTCCCAGTGCACTCCCAGCTCCTGGCTGGCAGGACAGTAAAGGAGCAGGAGAGCCCTCGGCTCTCTGCAAGCACTGCCATGCAACAACTAAATCATTAGTGTGCTCTCACCACTGTTTTTATAAAAAATCTACAATAAGCATGATATAACCCTCTACAACGGAAATTAACTCTATCCTAGCCAAAATCAAGACATTCAGTCAATTAAATTAGTGGGAATTTTTGCCTTCCAACTGTCCGTACAGAACATGTGAGCAGTGGCTGGACTTTCACTGTACACGCCAGAGTGAATGTGTAGCTAGCATGCTGTAAGCCACTGATCAGCTTATTCAACAGCCTTTTGCAGAGGAAAGAGAGGAAGTAACTTTGGCACACACAGCTGTTGGGCAAGCCATGCACTTGGACAGATGAGCATAAGAGCTCTGAACGCCTGGCTAAGATTCACAGAATCCCTAGCTGGAAGAGAGCCACAGAGATCATAAGATGCTATGATTTTCTTTTAAATTCCTAGGGCAAACTGGGAGAAACTGGCTTTGTGGCCTGAGGAGGAGGCTGGAATTACAAAGGACTGTACCACTATCATTCATGATATCATCTGACAGATCTATGCAGGTACTGGTTTGTATTTCCTGGAAAAGTACCACAGAAAAAGATCTGTTACCACCTTGGATGACTGCAGAGTGGCAGGCACTGCTTGGAAGACTTCACCAATATCCAACTTCTGGTTTTTTGCTTTGAGCTTCTTAGCCTGATTCTTAGCCTTCCTTTTTCCGTTGACTTGCAACACAAGTCGGTTGCCTTGCTCAGGAACCTTCTATTATGTTCTCATCCATATTTCTCCCAAGCTGAATAATCACAGTCTACCTTAATTTTGCTTCATGTAGATCTTCTTCTGTACTTCTGACCAGTGAGACACCTTTCTACTAGATTCTGTTGTTGCTATAAGTTTACATGGCTTCAAAAAAGGATTGAACAAAGTGAAAAAAAATAAATGAATCTGTCCAGGGCTCCAAGTTTTACAAAGATATGGCACCAGGAAATCCCTGAGCTACAAATCATAGTCATGCATCACTGCACCTGGCCTCGATTCTTTCTGGACATCCACCACTGCTGGCTGTCAGAAAAATGGACAGTAGGCATTTGGTCTTTCCCATTAATGCAGTTCTTACATTTTTATGCCTTACTCTCTACCTTTCCTATTTTTTTTTTTTAAATCTCTTTAGAAGGGGTTAGGGAATAACAGTACGTGCTGACAGCACTACAAGTACAAGAGCATTGTATTTTATATAGGTGTAATGATTTTTCATTTTTCTTTTCTATTCCTTCACTAATCATTTCTAGATTTACCTATCTCCATCACTAAGCACCTAATCAATTTTTAAGAGAATTATCCACAACTTCAGTATTCATCCTTGCATAGATTCCTCTCGTCTGTTTTCATTTACGTTTAACAATATAACATTTGAAAATACAGAATTCCTAAGCAACTTTATAACTCAGTTACTCTGTATCTTCACGTTCTTCTACAACTGTAAATTCCACTGCTTTCAATAGTTTTGTACCATCAGGAAACGTTTTTAAACTACTTTTCATTCCCTTTGCCAGATGATGCATGATTATGCTGCCATAGTTTTAAGATTGCCCAGGAGGAGCCCATGGAGGCAGATCCACCACAGAGATGAAGAACAACTAGCAGAAGTGGATCCACCTGTGACAGACATGACCTGGCATTACCCTCAGCGTGCCTCAGCTCTCTGCTGCAGCAGCAGGGCGGTAGAATTGCAGGAGCACCAGGCCATCTTTTAGTCTGCATCACAGCCTCTGCCCCGCCGTTAACTCAGACAAGCCAAACAATGACTTCAGACGTTGTGTTGCGCACTCCTAAAATTATCGTACTCTTTGGATCGCTCTCTTTACGTACCTGTGTGTTATGAGAAACTGGGAGAGGCAGTTAGCTGGGGGAGAAAGTTCACAAGAGGGTAAGTTTCCTGACTCCAGGGGGCAGAGAGCGGCAAGAGATACCAAATGCTATTGGTAATCCACCTTGCCATTCTGGGTGGGAGGAGGGGCAAAGCAAAGCACTTCAAAAGAGTATGAGGAAGTGGACCTGTGATGTCACTGTGCAGTAGCCTTCAGCTAAAGTCAGTTTCTTCTCTAGCCACCTCCAAGTTAGAAGGAAGAGAACCCTGAGGTGAAAGGAGGGAGAAAGGAGGAGGACAGCAATGAAAGGGCTTCAGCTGTTTGTTTGCAGTGCAGGTGAGTACTGATTTGGTTGTATCTTCAAGGGTTGGGTAGAAGGAAGCAGCACAACAAAATCTGAGTAATACAGCAGACTACTTGGTGTGCTTTGGTTTAATATAAGTTTCTGCATGTTGATGGTCAGGCAGGTGTTTGCAGTTACCCTGTGCTCAATGCCCAGACTCACAGGCATCTCGTAAAGCTACAAGTCAACTTTAGAAACAGGAAAAGAATGCTGTACTTCAAGAGGCCGAAAAATATCTCCAAAGCCAATTGTAACGCCTTCCGTTAAATGCAGCATTTCGTCATGAAGATGGTATTTCCTCAACTGAAGTGGAAAAGTCCTTGAGTTTGATTCTTCTATACATATATCTGCATGGAGTAGATGTCTCCATGAGTTTAACTCCTACTGTTCATAAATACTCAGTATGATCTGTGATCTTTATGTATTACTTGTGTCACAGGAATGCACAGTGATCCCTGCCTACAGGTTTGCAGTTTGCCCCAGCCTTTGTCAGGCTCGCTCTTCCTCACCCTGCCTTGCAGAGTGTGAGTCTCACTGCTTTCGTTCTCGTCTTCTCCTGCAAATGATCCTGTGTCATCTTTCAGTCTTTATAGGAAGCTACTTACATGGAAACCACTCACAGTTTTTTAATCAAAAATCCTGAAAGCCTTGCTTCCACAAACAGACCCACAAGAAGGAAATTCACAAGGTTTAGCCCAATTAGAGAAAGGAATCATGCTCTGAATAAAACAAACATGACTTGAGTCATAATCTAGTGATCACTGTGCAAATCGCCTAACAGTGTTAGCATTTGTTCTCCTTTTTCCTGATCCTCACCCTTTATGCTATCTTAATTATGGATTTCTGCTCAGAGAAGTTTACCATCTGTACATTGCGTGAAGCTCTTGGCTGTCTGGGTAGGACTCAAAGGATAATTCAGAGTGGAAAAAAAAATAATGGAAAAGGTATAGTAGTTTCCTACAGTGCACTAGAGCAGAACAACTACACAGCACATTGCAGCGTGGGGTGGGAACGCAAGAGCTGCCTTGAACGACTCGTACCAAGCTGTCAGTGAAGGCTGCCTTTCGCTGAGCTTCCCACTGCAATGTGAGACTGACTGCTACTGCATCCTTCTTGCTGAATGGAAGGCCCCAAATTGGTCACCGTGAATCAAACAGAATACTTAATTTTAACGCAGATCTCACACATGAGAGGTTTTCCCTCTCTCGTCAGAACTGATTTTCAGCTAAGTTTCTTAGTAGAAATTAAACCCAAACATATCCTTGTAAAATGTGAATTAATACTTTTCAGCTCTGTTCCTCACTAGCCTAACTAACCAAGGCAACTCAGCAATAACAGTCCTGCTTGATCAGAATCTTTTCAGCATGGAAAATATCCCTTTAATTGGTTTCAGCTCTACTAATTGCCCTTCACTCTGTTTTGATACTACACATTAGCATGTGTACAACAACAAATGTGAAAGTAAACACTGATTTTCTTCCTTTGCACTAGCACTAATGTTTTAAATTGAGTAGAGGGAGGTAAGACTTTTCTCAATTTCAAAAAAACATTACAAACATACTTAATAATGATAAAAAGTAATCCTAAGGCTTAAATCTGGATGATGCCATCCATCTATTGACAAAGTGGCTACTTGTCCCCACTGTTTTCCTCAAGCTCTTTCAGAACTGATTCTCCTATCCTTTCAGTTAAGAAATGGGGACTAAATCTATTCAAAATACACACCAGCAGTAACTAGCTTGCTGTTGGTGATTTTGATGGGATCAAATGTGGGGAGAAAAAGGATGGAGAGAAATCAGCAAAGTAAACGGCACCTCAGGATGAGATCATGCAGCTTCCCTGAGAGCCAAAAGATGTAACACAGGCAACATGGGAGTAAGAAAAAGATGTCATAGGTGAAAAATAGGAGAGCAACAGAAGATGTTGTGCATTAGGATGACAGCAACACACAAATAAGACATCTCTCTTGTTACGGGCTGTTTCTTCAGTACAACTGTTCCATGACCCTGCACTGAAGATGTTTGGGAAAACAAAACAAAAGCCAAATCTCTTTTATTGTAGGATTTCAGTCATCCAACTGGAAGAAGCCAAAGCACTTCTGAGTGAAGCCTTAGGGCTGGACAGTTTCTCCTCTGCCTCAGGGCTGAGTTAATGACCTGTCAGTGAAGCCTGGCCTGGTGGAACAAGTTTCTGAGTGACAAAAGGATCAGGAAATTGGTTTTGCTCCATCTTCTAGTACAGATTATGATGCTTTCCACCTAAATGCAGGAAAGCATCTCTATCCAGTTGCGACAGGCAACAAGATGGCTTTTATAGGTGCCTCTCATGCAGGGGGAATGATCAGAAACAGTCAGAAAGCCCTTAGGCTACGGAAGCGTGGCCATTGTGCTGACTGCTGCAGAGCTGGGAAAGACCAGGGAGTGGCTGCAATAAAACAACGTTAGAAGTACTTTGCCCTGCTAGTTTCCCTTGTATGGCTGTCAACAGTTACAGATGAATCAGTGCCTTAGAGAGTAGAAACCACTACTGCCATGAGGAAGAAACCAATATGCATGCTTAATAATCAAGACCACAGCAAACTCAATTACAGAGTTGAGAACACAGACAGGTGACAACTTTGGCTAGAAGCATCCTGCTCCGGTCAATCAGCATTTTCTTACCAGGACACTACCAAGCAGAAAAACCAATCTTGGCAGTTCTCCTGAAAATGCCTGAAGCTTTCTGAAGACAGCTGTGGAAAGGAGGGCATCTCTGCCCTGCAGTAAGGAAAGAGTGTGTAGAGGAAAGAAAAGGTGTGTCTGCTGTGGAAATTCCCATCCACCTCATCTCAGGAGAGAGAAATGCAGCAGTTCTGGCAGGATAGGCCATGTCTACAAAGAGACTGAAAGGCCATTTACTGTGGGGAACAGAATGGATCCAGTAAGCTGTTACAGAAGGTTTTGTCCCTTACTGGGGAGCAGATCCTAGTGCCAGCTGTCCCATACTAACCTGTGGTGAAATCAGAATCTTTTGGGTCCTTCCATCGTTATTTTTTAAGGGAGAATATAGTACACTGCTATTACAGTCAAGGACTTGGTAGTGCTGATTTGCCAACGGCTCATTTCAGTTGACCTATGGCATGTGGCTGTGACAATTTTTTGTCTAAAAAAGCTTGTATTTACAATCCTTGTGCAACTCACACTGAAATCCAGATGTGCTTTGTTCTCTTCCTTTTGCACTCCATTTCCTTGTGGATCTCAGACAAATAGAAACATGGCTGAGTCAGGCCCTACAGCTTGCTGGATGCAGTATTTTGCTCACATCCTTCCTGAGGAGCACCAACTCAGAAACTCCAGAAACAAATCTCCACTCCAGCATGCCCTTCTCAGGGGAGCATACATCCCTCTTCCATCTTCCTCCTTACTGGACCTTGCTCCTCCTTGTCGCAGGAGTGTCTCTAAGTGGTATTTCCTGTCCCTTCTCCCTCCATTCTGTCTGGCTTCAGATGCAGAGTTTCCAAATGGTGCTATACAAAAATATAGAAAGAGGGCTCAAAACAAATTACATCTTTATAAACTCCTCACAAGTGCTTGTTCAGGTAAATAAGAGGGAAGTGAGGCAAAGAAAGCAGAGCTTAGCTTTCCACCATCCTGTGCAGCAGCTCCCTAAAGAGGGTCAGCAGCAGCATATGTTGCCTCCTGCTCAGAAGGGAATGCCATGGCTAACAGAGGGAAGGCTGTAGGTTATTGTGGCAGGTAAAAAAGTCAAACATGGACAGCGGATGCCATTAGTTTTGCTGACTAATGAATTTATTCTGTTTCTAGTTCTGGCGACTGCTTATGCCCTCACTGTGGAAACACCTATCAAGGAAGTACAGGTTGCACGAGGGAACAATGCTACTCTCCGTTGTAATTTTAATACTAATATTGCCACCAACACAGGAGATTTTGTTGTCTGGAAGAAAATCCTCAGTGCGGTAAATCAAGTTGCATAAAAAAAAAAAAGAAAACATATGATAGGGCATCCAGGAGGGAGGTGGGAGGAGAGATGGAAGCAGGACAGTGGGAACATGTTTTAGAAGGAAAGGATCCCTTCAAGACTTTCCTTAGTCTCAGACCTATGCAATTAGAAACTTTGATGGTAGATTCCATTTTATACAAATCTGCTGTGTGATATTAGGCAAGTCCCCACCCTTCTTTTCTTTCTCTTTTGGTCTTGCAACTGTATATTGAGGATACATTATTGTATGTACCTTGGGTTTATATCTGTTTATGTATGATATATTCAGATACTTTATAAAAAGCTTTCTAAATTTTTTTATGTATATGTAGTATACATATATTATGTAGATACATATTTGATGCTGTATAAAAAGTTTTAGTTGATACTATTACACGGAGAGATTCTTGAGCTCTCTTACATTCAGAAGGAATACAACATAAAGACCTCTTATAAAGGTCATAAAGACCTCCCCAAGTTGCTCTTGGGGATTAATGAGAGGAGAAGCAGGACTTGAAGCCCTCCCTGCAGTAATTGGCAAGGGTTTTTTCTCCTAAGATCATTGCTGAAAGAAGGCAAGGGAATATGTATAATCATAGGAGGATTTTGTTGACACATGGATACCAAACAAGTCTCACAATGTCCTATCAGGAAAAGTAAAAAAGACCCAGCAAAGGAAATTGGCTGTCTCGGACTAGAAAAGATGTAAGGAGGATTCTAGAAACCCTCACTCTTTTGAACTTCCAAGATGTTGTTTTTTTTCCCTGTTATTCTTTTCCGAGTTATTCTTCTCTTAAGAACGAGCTAATCTATGGAGTTAGACCACAGACTTGCACAGAAGAACCTAAGATTGCTTAGTTTCCCTCCCTCTCTGACAGGATGATGCTGTCACTAGGTATTTTGATGGGCTTGTACAGTATGGCACGGGCTATGAGAACCGACTACATTTTACTGGCGATGTCAACAGCGGAGACATCAGCATCACCATCAATGAAGTAACCATGGAAGACAACGGGACATACGTGTGCAGCGTCCGTCTACGGGATGACCCCCCCCGGCAGTCTGCACTCACGAGTCTTTTCGTCCTCAGTAAGCATTAGATTCATTAGATAATCCACTATCATTCTTCTCAAAGTCCATACTGGTTTTTGTTTTGTTTTTATATAAAACTGACTTTCTAACAGGAAACAACCATCTCTCAGTAAATCATAATCCACAATCCTGTTTTTAGTCTTTTCCTACAACTACAGAAGTAGCTTGGAAGGCTTAAAGCATCCAACTCCCTTGGATATTTTACTGTAGAAAATATTTAGAGTTGTACAGGGCATTTTCCTAGTAACTTAGTAAGTTCATTGCAGACCTCTCCTCATGCACTCTGGCTTGTCACTCTCCAGTTATCACAGGAAGAGTTACCCAACATTATTAGAGATATCCCAAAAAGTATCTTACATTTTCTTGTCGACCAACAAGCACAAAGAAGGAATACACACGTTAGGGACAATCTTCCTTTGAGGAGGCTCTGTTCCTCTGTTCAGGAGGAATTAAAAAAAGAGATGCAGGAGATGGGTTGAAACAAAATACTACATATGATTAACCAAATTCTGTTTTTCCTTCCTTCAGTTGCACCATCCAAGCCAGAATGCAAGATTGTGGGCACAGCGGAATATGGACAGACTATCAATCTAACCTGCTTCTCTCACGAGGGCTCCCCAAAACCCACATACACCTGGCAAAGCTTCAGTGTACAAAACGAGCCCCGTGTGCTAGAAACAACCAACGGTATGGGAATTTCAAAGACACAAGGCTTTGAGCTCTCTCTAGTTCCAGGTTACAAAGACTTTGAAATACAAATTAAAAAAAAACCACTCTAGAACTCTTCTTCTAGGAAATCCTTTAAACAGGATTTTAAGAAATTGTCCTTTTCATACGATATATTCCTGAGTAACTTAACAAGGTGAAAAGGACTGCTACTTGCATTAACAGTGGTCACTGAGACTTGCATTTTAGTTCTTACTTGGCAAGAAAGCTGTCACACTTTGGAAGTGGACAGAAATAATTCCTACTCAATTGCGGGATGTAAGGGTGGGATAGTATGAGGAATAAAATCCAGTTTTCTAACTGGTGCCCCTTTATATCTCAGCTCATTTGAGAACAAATAGGTCACTTTCAGGAGTTAAGGCAAACAAAAGTTGGTTCAGGAAGCTACTTTCCTTCCAGAGATGACTCTTAAGCCAGAGGAAAGTGCAAAGAGAAACAGTTGTACCAATTCCTACTTAGAGAATAAAAGAAGCTTCCAATTCTTAAGGACTGTCACAAGAGCCCTAATGTTTTATTTGCTTTTATTTTTACATCAGAATCTGAGAAAAGGTTATGAGAATTTCCATGGACGTCAGGTAGAATTATTCATAGAAAAATGTGAGTTTAATAGCCTTTAAAGTGCAGTATCACAGGACCCAGATTTATTACTGCAAGCCACTTTCTTCCTGATATGTTGAAGTCCTTTCTTCCTGATATGTTAAACTCCAAAGAGACAGACTACACGTCTGAACCTCTCTTTCCTGGCTTAAGTTATTGTAGCATTGCTAAACTAAATATGTTAAGGCTGTAGGCTATTCATCTCCCAGTAGGTGATCCTTGTATAAATTATGCCCCCCTCTACTCCCCCCCAAAAGGAGAGAAAAAAAAAAAAAAAAGGAATCTACACAGAAACACAAACCACAGTCACTTGACTGGCCGCTAAGTGGTGCCGGTGCATCAGGCACAGCCCTACGCACACACCCTGATTTGTCTTCTCAAAGCAGCTATCTGCCCACTCCTGCCTTCATTCTGTTCTTTCCTGATCCATTTCCATATGATTTCTGTTTCCATCATAGCACTGCTGTCCAGTAAGCAAATCAGGTGTCCCCGATCCCCCTGGTGGCTGGACGCCCCACTGTCACTCCAAGCAAAACACTTCTTACTGCGCCAGGCTAAGCAAGACCCATTCCACAGAACTCCCTCATGATCCACTCAAAAATTGACAGTATCTGACACACATTCTTCCAATTTGACGCGGCAATTAAAGTTAATATAGTAGAATTTACAGTCCTGAGAGCTATAAACATCGTGCTGGAGGAGGAAAGAAAACATGAAGCATGCTCAGATAACAGACTTTAAAAAAAAAAAAAGAAACCGGTGGAGCTGGTTAATTCTTGGCTTGCATGCTCTTTTTCTAGCTGGCACTAGGCGTCAGCAAAGACTAAACAGAATCTCTGTCCCATACAAGAGATGGAAAGAACCGAAAATCACAGGGAACATATCAGAAAAGCTACTGAAGAGCATTCAGAGCTTTTGGATGTTAGAGCAGAATTTGGACCTTTATCAGTAGAAAACAACAAAAGTACTCATGCAAGCAGCAGTTGGAGATGTAACAAGCACCACTTGACAAACAGAGCTAAGATTTAGTTACAGTTCTGTGCTCTGCTAGGTTGGATAGGCAGTGTCTGGTGTCAAAGCATTCCTGTGTCACTGTACTTCTTTTTCTTCCTTTATTTTCACAGCCCAGATGGCCTCTCTTGGAGTGGAACATTACTGCCCCCTCTGCTATATAATTCAAACCTGAAATCCCATGGGTTGAAGGACTGAAGAACTTTTTGCCATTTAACAAGTTAATTCATGAGATGGACACTCATCCAAGTCAGACCACTGGTTTCTGCCATCTCACATTTCCAAGCAAAAAGGGCTCATGGCCATTTACCCACTGCAAAAAAAGCTGTCGCTAAGCATACGTACTTCCTTATCCTCCACCCACAGTTTTCTTGTTTTCTTTCTAAAAGGAATGTTCCAGTACTGCATTTTCTGTAATGAAAACAACACACTTCCATTTGTCCTCCTACAAATCACACTAAGACCTAGAGACTAGCACAGAAACACCTGAGCAAAAGGGAGCAATCTGTCAACTTCTTCTCACTCCTTCCGTCCTGGGCTACTACTGAAGGGCTGCTGTCCCCATTTCCTTCCCTCCTGAAGTTCTCCTCTTCTCCTGACTGGACTTTTGTTTCACAACAGGAGAGCAAATAACTCTGAAGAACATCTCGGCAGACACCTCCGGCTTTTACATCTGCACTTCAACAAACAGTGTGGGAAAGGAATTTTGCAACATGACAGTCAGCGTAGTCCCACGTAAGAGTCTATTCCTTTGAAAGAATCGTACCAGAGGACGCAGGCCAGCTAGCTGTGAAAGCGTTAACAAGAGCAATGTAAACAAAATAGTGAAATTCTGCTTTCTTTCAAGAAGTAACACGTTAATTCAAAACGTGCTTTCAGCATAAGGAGCACTCAGAGTGCTCACTAATGCGTAGAGCTTGCAGAAAGCCACAAGCGTACATAACAAACCTGAACCCCGAAAGTGTGAATCTGATCTCGATAAAGTACAGCTGTTGTTCTGAAGCAGGGCTGTTCCTGTAGGCTTATCAGCTACCCAGTACAGGACTAATTCCAACTGCTCTAGTCAAACTCTGTCAGTAGGATCTAAAGGCCAATGCTTGTGCTGATTGCATTTGATAACATCCTCAGTGCAAAGAGGTAATTCTTTTCCTCCTTTACAGCATCCATGAATATTGCCCTTTATGCAGGCATCGCTGGAGGAGTTCTTGCTGCAATTTTAGTTATTGCTATTCTAGCCTACTGCTGCTGCTGTCGAGATAACAAGGACTACAAGGAGACGTAAGTACCTCTCTCTCAAAAAAAGGGAACAGAACATACAAAGGATTCACCTTCTCCCTCTGGCATCAGCCCAGGGAGGAGAAAGCATGGAGAAAAGAAGTCACCAAGAAAAGTATGCACTGCTTTTTTTCCCTTCCATTTCTACCCTGGTACTTCCCATCTCATCTCACAGAACATGCCCTTATCATCAGATGCCTTTGTGGTCCCTGGGGCAGAACCCAAACATTCCATCTTGGAACTGAATTTTCATGTCCCACTCAGCCCAGTCCTTTTTTCATTTCTCCTACTCCCTACAGCTGGTTCTGCCCTTGCACACCCTGATCAACGTTACTCCAAGAAAGACCACTGTAAGAAGAGTAACATGAGTAAAGATACTCTAGTCATCCTCTCTTCATATATGCACCAACCACCAACAAGACTTAATTTACAGAGTTTGGTTTGGTACACTTCTAGATCAACCTAGATCAATCTAAAACCATTCTAATGCAAAATTTCTTCAGTATAATTTCTAGCTGGTTCTAACCAACATTTCTACTCCTGAATAACATTTTAGGGCACGAGAAGATGAACACATGCAGAACATACCTATGGACACTCAGAGCGCAAAAGATGCTTCTGAAGATGAATGAAGCAGGAAGCCAATGCCATCTTCAGGTTCTGCCGAGGAACAGACACTACTGTAGAAAAGAAAGCCTAGAAGAAAAGAAATACCTATATCTTGTCACAGGAAGTATTTAGAATAGCCAAGTAAAAACTAATGGCTTTGTCTTGTAGTTTCTGGGGGGGGGGGGGAAGATAATATTGTTACCCTGGAAAGATGTGCTTAACATGCAACGGGTATTAATATTTAACCTCACAGTAGGAAAATGCATGTGAAGTGCTGGTCCACCCACTCATCCAAAAATAACCAGTCTTCTCACCATCCCACTTACTGTAAAGGAAGCCAGACAAGTCTATTTGGAGAAAAGAGTTGCTAATATATCCCTAGATCCACAGAAGGTTTCAAGGGCACTGATTCTAAGTTACAAGGAAGAGTGGTCATGCTTATGGTGCTATGCAAACATCAGAGCTTGCACATTGTCCAGTGCAGAAATTATTTTAGGCAAGATCAAGGCAAGATTAAAGCAACATTTTTATGGACATTTTATCAGATATATTTTTGTATGTATTGCACAAGGTACATAAGAATAAAAATATGGAAAAAAAACCCCACAGATGACCAAAGTCTCCTGTTTGAAGCAACAATACTTTGGTTACAAGAGTCTGAAATGTATCTTTCAAGAGGAGCCAGCAATCCTCCTACGCACAGGCAGTGCATTCTAGATTTTAAACTGTACATGTCAGACTCCCAAGAATAACAGCCTTCTGCCTGCCTTTGTTTTGCATGATGCTCTAATCATAGCCTTCATCTGTAGTAATAACGACTGCAAGGACCAGAATTCTTTACGAAGTGCATCCAAACCCACATCTCTCTGGCAATGAACAACTTGAAGCACAACTGAGCAAGACATTCTGTGGAACTACTTCCACTGCTTCGTTTAGGTGCATGACTAAACATTGCAAAGATGGATCACCAAAAAAAGAACTGCACGCAGAAGCTGGAGGAAGGTAAGAGAGCAAGGTGTGTAACTCAGAAACAGAGAAGAAAAAAATACAATGGCACATCTTATTCTCTTTTGCAATGAGAAAAAAGCATCCAATTAGCATTTTAACAAGTTTTTACTGCAAAACCAAAGCTGTAACTTTTACGAATGTTTCAGAACACCCGTCAGTACTTCCTGTGTCCTCACAAACACTTAAATCCTTGGGCTAAAGAGGGCTTCTTGTCAGAGATAACAGCATAGATGCTCAAAGGCCTTAACTGGGAAGACCAATGAAAGGACATAACTACGAATACTATTTGTTGCCAGAAACTGACTCTGACCTCTAAAGCATTTATATATTGTGTAACTCATTCCATATTTCTCATTCTCTGGATGTGTGAAACTTAAGTGCTGCTTGTCAGCTGAAGTTTTGCACCTTGGTCATTTTAGATGTAAATAAGCACAAAAATGAACACATCTGCATTAAACTATCTACAAACAAATGAGAAAGAGCTGCAAAGTACAGACAAAATTATTAGAAGACCCTCCAAAGCCACAAATTCAATTCTAAATAGGTCCCATAAGAACCAGCAAGGAAAAGGTGAGAAACATGACAGCCATTAAAGAGCCACTTACACTCCGCAGTGCTAAGTTCTATTCTTCCTTTGGAAATAAATTGAGAGCACACAGAGAGCTGAGATACTTCACTGCTTCTCATGCTTTATTTTCATTATTTTTTTTAATGAACATTTTGAAAGCAGCGTATTTTCCAAAACGCTACACGTGTAGCAACTGATTTCTTAAATTCAGCCAGTCAGAAATATATGTATTCAAATTCCTAGCTACTCCAAGGTTTCCCTGTGAGTGAATCCATCATTTGTACATCACATAAAGCAGGAATAGGTCCAAGAGTTGCTAGTAGATTCTGAACTTTAAACAAAACTAAAGCAGTGCCCCCAGCACATTTAGGATGAAAACAGGGGAAATGAACAACATTTAATGAATTCCTAGGAATTCATGTACGCATACCTAACTTCAACACCCACCCCCTCACAAGGTGGGAGCTGAGCAGAAAAGGAGTGACGCTCCACACAGTCTAAGGTGTATCACTATTTGGTAACATTCACCTTTCAGGTAGAAGAATATGCATGTCTATGCTTTATCTGTGCATGAAAAGAAAACACAACAAAAGAACACCAGAACGTAAGCGCTCACAAACCATTTTCTCACCTGCAGGACTACTGAGATCTGCTATCCAAACTGGGAAGAACAGCCACAGTATGATTTGGAGACATTGTTAATAGCAAGATTTCTTTCAGCAGGCATACTAAGATATTTAAAAGCTATCATTTTTCCCCTTCTAATAGTACCTCAGAAATCTAGAAGTTATTTCCTATATAAGGAAGTGTATGAAGGAAACAAAAAAAGTCCATTTCAACAATCCAGCAAGCCAAAGAAAAGTAGGAAAAGTAGGTAAGAAATGCCACACAGAAATTGAAAAATTGGATTACCCTGCACTGCCAAAAGCAATTACACTAACCAGGACTTCACCATGTTTTCTTCTTTCGTCTAAAGGTGACTACATCTCCCTAGAAAACTGCTACTGCTTAAGAGAACTGCTCTTTCAATTCTTGGCTCTCTCCAACCCCACACCCCCTTTTTTATTTTTTAATTTGCTAATCATTTTCTGAAGGTAATACATGGTTTAGTGAGGGGAAAAAATGTTCATTACTTGTTCCTAGTAGCAGTCATTCAGTTTTTAATGTTTATTCTTATCCTGGCATTTTTTAGTCAAGGAACTCCAGAGGTCTATTAAATGTGGCAAGAAAATCATCCTCATTAATGAGTGACAAAAGCAACGGGACAAAAATCATATGCTCTGACAGTAGACACAGATGACGACACAGCAGAAGCATGCATGTAAGGCAAAATACTTTTATATGCTCTACAGGGCAAGCTCCTCTGTTCCTATTGCCATTTCATCTTCCAAATATTCTTTCTGTTTCTCGCCCTCAGTTCTGAGCACTCTTCTCAGCAGAGATGCCCTCCTACTCGTCCTGACTGTAGTGCTGGACTTCAGGTCATCGTACAAGGTTCCTTATTAGCCCACTCCTGCCCTCAAGTGTATCTGCTTCCTCAATTTGGCGACTTCAGCAAGTAAGGGTGCCCTCTGTCACCTCCTCCAGGCCACTACTGTTAAACAGGGTATTGCAGGCTCCCACAGTGCCACACCTGTCACCAGCCTCCATGTAGAGTACAACTTAACTACTACTTTCAGAGTCCAAACACATTTTTTCCACATCTGTCCACCCATCTAACATCCCAACTTGGACACATGCATACACCACATTGAGAGCCTTGCTAAAGTCAAGGCAAATGGCCATTGCTACACCTCTTTCACTCACAAATCTATCATGGAAGGCAAGTGGGATGATCAGTCATGATTTCACCTTGGCAAATCCATGCTGACTGCTGCCAATCTCCTCCTATTTCATGTACCCAAAAATGTGTTCTAAAAGGGCCCAACCCAGGATTTTTCCAAGGAGCGCAGTGGAGTTGATTGGTTTATGGTTCCCTAGATTGTCCTTTGGCAGATGGGTGCAATATTATTCGCCTTCCTTAAATTGCTGCAGATTTCCCACACTTTCTGTGACCTTGTAAAGATAGAACAACTTTGCAAGGATATCAGGCAGCTTTTTCAGCATCCTCAGATGTGACCCATCGTGTCCTGTGGTCCTGCATGGGTCAGATTTTCCCAGCTGATCTTCAACTTTATCTTCATTCATTGCTTTCCCTTGTTTCAAATATAGAAGTTTAAGATCTTGATAGCAGGGACTGAGGCAAAGGCAGCATTGGGGAACTGCATCCCTCACAGCTCACAATGGGGAATGGGTTCAGTCACACAGTTCAGCTACAAGACCACTGTTCTCTGTTGATCAGTGCCACACTGGAAAGCTTTGGACCGCCAAATACCACCTCTACATGCCTGCCCAATGTTTCTGGCCTCTTCCTTCATGGCCAGCACATTCCTACCTCCTGTATACTTCCCCCCCCCCCCCCCCCCCCCCATTATAATGGGGTCATGCATTCCCTGAGTAGCCCACACAGTCCCTGGCAGATCTATCACCATTCCTAAACTGTTATTTCACTTGGAAGATGCTATCCTTGGTGTTCTGCCCATCTTCCTAGACTCCTTTAAAGAGTTGTCTCCCAGGGATTCCACCTCCCCCTTTCTTGCACACCCCCCAGGGTCTGCTTTCATTGCCTTCCTCACTTTTTTCAGGATCTCAAGCTCCAGTATTGTAAAGCCACAAAAAGCAGAGGGTGACACTGTTTATTACTGGAATGGTGCACAATTCAGAACTGATTGGATAGAGAAGAGTTAATTACCTCACAATTCTTGTTGCTAGAGTAACAGCACCACATTTCTATTTATTCGAACCATCAGTTCCAGGAAAGACACAAAGGATGTCTTCTATCTGAAGTTCACAGAACAATAAGCAAACCATTAAGGTTAATTCTGGATGCATTAGGACTAGCACCTAGTTCATTATAACCCAATTAAGGGCATTTGGAACTTCTCTCTCGCCTTTCACCTCTTCATCAGGAGGTATGGGGAATAATTTGAAAACTGTAATCAGAGAAACTTGTGGGAGCTTAAGTTCTGCATTCTTCTCTTTCTGCTCAGATTTCACTATCTTGAAGCATAGTAACAAAGACTTCTAGAAGTATTTGTACTTACATTAATATGATACTGAATAAATATTTCAAGAATGAATTCTCTCCTTCATAAGAGCTGAAACATGAAACTTTTATTTTACTGACTTCTGAAAATAATCCAAAGATTACAGTTCTGTACATTCTGAAACATCAATGCAGCCATCAGCTGGAAAACTGAGAACTCAGCTGTATTCCACAGCAGAAAAAAAAAACCCTTTACTACTAATAAGTAGACCTTGTTACCCCATTACAAAGCCCCCTGATGCCCTGAAGTCTGGTAAATCTCAATCTTCAAGGTTTATTGAGCTTTAACAGGCAGAACAACCACCTCGAAGCAAACAGTTATGCAAGGAAATTCAGCAATGAGAGCAAGTTCTCAAGTAGGAGGGTCCAGTGATCCTGGAAGAAGGTTCTCAAATGGCTTTACAGCAACTTTTAGCAGGTTTCCAATCAAACCAGCAACTGGCGTTTTCTGAAATACTCATCAGCACACCTGAGTTTGCTCACAAGTGTGTCGAACCTTTTTTATCCTCCCCTCCTATCATTCCAAAGATGGAACTACTGAATTCTAAGATCCAATTCCTTAAAAAAGAATGACATTCATTTCCTCTCAGTTAGTTGCTATGGAGATAGTACTGCACAACCGGACCTCTGCTGGAACACGATGTGAAAACCTAAAAAAGCTCTTATTTTTGAGAATCAGTTGTTCAAAGACACACGCACTGAGGAGGCTGTTTACATAATAGGCAACTAATCAGAGACACGTCCAAGATTTGCATCTCCATGAAACGTCTAACTTCCCGTTGTTCCTGGGAATATTGGGATTATTCCCAGTACTCCTGTCCCCTCAAATAATTATGACTGGTTTCAGTCACTTTAAATGAAAAAGTCAGCACTAATTTCAAGGAACACGAATCTTTTAATTGCTGATGCAGAGGAAAAAACAACATCCATATTCCTGATACATTGCTTATGCCTCCAAAAGAATACTAACAGACCAACAACACTGCCACCACACTTTTTGATAGAATATCTGCTTTTTTGCATTGAATGACTACTTGAGTTCTCAGTGGGTGCAAAAAAAACATGGAGCTATCCTTTGAGACAGTGACACTATACATTCCCCTGTGCATCCTGTCATACCTCCACTGCTCTCTCCATCGCCATTGGAGAGAGATGGTTACGCACCGAAACATTATCTTGCACACAGAGGTGTGGTGAAGGAGGTTACTAAGGAAAAAAAAAATAAAGCTGCACTGGCCACTACATAATTTCTAACCCAATGATGTAGCTAAACACTCTCAAATTTGCACTCCATCCATCAAGAAATGGAACTATGGCACTTCTTTTTAGAGAAGATGCAACCTTAAAACACCTTCCTGTAGATAATGAAGATTTTCTTCCCTTAACTCCAGTAAATGACAGTTTTATCACTGTAACAAGAACATGAACAATCAAAAGTTGCATGTAAGATGAAAAACTGCAGTCTGGAAAAACTGCTGGTTATTTTAGCAGAACAAGAAAGAAAAAAAAAAAAAAAAATGTATGGCTGTCCTGGACATGAAGATTTTCAGTTACTGAAAGATTTGCTCAGATCAGGTGTACTTTCCAGCCATCGAGTAATTCCTCTTCCTCGAATGGTACTTGTTCCATAAGGAAAACTCTTCCCATCACATGAAGAATCACCTATTAAATTAAATACAGTTTACAAATGAAGTGTATATGCGTGGAATGTATTCACTATTTCTAACAGGAAGAGAGAGAGACATGGGTTCTGTCCTTCACAAACATCAAGTCCATATAAGATCTCATGATTTGTATTTGGAACAGTTTCAGCATTTAATTCAGTGTGTACTGTCTAAGCAAAAACATAAGCTGCAAACTCAGAATTCTTAAGTTATCTGTCTTGCAAACTTAATTCTGCTCCTCTTTGAAGGTTAGTCACATATTGCACAAATGAATTGAATGCACATACTTTATACTAGAAAGATTTTAGCTCCAAGAAGATGACTTGAAACAAGCACTTTTTTTTAAAGATCCAGGAGTAACAGAATGCTTACTACAGGTACCACTTGTATCTGCACATACAACTCCAAAAGAAAGATGGTATTTTAAAGATAGCCTTGCCTTAAGGTATCTAAACATGCTAGAAAGAACTTCATATGACAGAAAAACAAGGTTTTATAAATCAGATAGCAACATTTACAAGAAAATCTGATTTTGGATAGACTTTCTGGCCATATGTTTTGGTCTAGTAACAAAAGTGCAGCTATTTCATCTTCAGAAACTCAGAAATCTGCACTATGTACCATTATAAACCCAGCTCATGCAGAGCTGAATAGGCTTTATGCCACTGACAGACAATAACTTCTGAGCCCAAAAATTTGAAAAAACTGCAATTGGATTATGTTTAAATACTCTTTTTCCCTTTACAAATGGGGAAGTCTCAAACTCACAACTAGAAGGGACAAGCTCTTGAACTCCACTTGGAGAAAGGATGTCTCTGTCACTTCCAGAACCCTTGGCCTTCAATTCCTGCAGGAAGAAATAAACATTCAAAATAAGAGAAGTCTTCTCTGAAGTGACACGTGCATAACTACTCACGATACCTGTGAGTCGTATTCAAAAACCATCACAAGGTACAACCCAGCCAGAGATTATTTTTCTTTTCTCAGTCTGCTAAGTATACCTTAAAAAAAAGACAGCATCCAAAAAGGAAGACGGCTAACCTCAAATTACCAAGTGCGTTCTGTCTACAGCATTTGAGTTAACCAGAAATAACACAGGAAAACAATTTAAAGAAACTGACCTGAAAACGTCCAGCATCCAGTATTACCCGCCTGAGGTTTGTATTTCCACTGGAAACACTGTCTTTAAGAGGCAGGTGAGCAGCCGTCAGCGAGACTCCGTACACACCAGCTAACGATTTACTGATGCAATAACTTGACCAGGAAAATAAAGAAATCAAAAGAAGTTTTGTTAAGAAGGCTGTAACGCTCGCATACGGAAGCACAGCATTCTTAGATCTTCAACTGACAAAGCCACCACAGATCAACAGGCAGAGATGACAACAGAGGGAAAAAGGACACTGTCGCAGCAGCTAACAACCCTGTACCTTTCCAACTTCACCAGAATATTCTACAACTACATGTGAAATTAACACAGTCACTTCCCCCTGCTGTCAAACGTAACCACTTAGAAGCATGAAATGCACTGCTGAAAGTTTGCTGAACGCTGTTTTGGGTTTTTTTTTTTTTGAAAATAAAAGACTATTAATTATGACTTCTCTCAAATAGCATTACTACTATTGACTGAGATCTTGAACTGCATTTCTTTCCCAACTACTTACTTATCTTTCCCCCAGCCTAAAATAGAGAAGCTTGTCTATCTACATTATATGTAAAACAGCATAATCATCAAATCATAGAACGGCTTGGGTTGAAAAGGACCACAACGATCATCTAGTCTCAGCCCCCCTAGAGATGGATTAAAGTATACTGAGAATCTCCCACCAAACTGAAGTGCAGTAAACCTCTGAAGAAAAACAGCGAATTCTAACGTAAGAACATTTATTTCAGCTCCCAACAGTAAGTGGAGTATAGTGATTACTATAAACCAAGTGATGGATATTATCACATACATACACTGTACTGAATTGCTAAAACAGCATACTGCTTTACAGTATTAGCACAAAAACCAAAACCAAAAATAGAATAAAGTCCTGGAAGCAGAAGAAAGAAATAAAACTCAAGCTTTAGAATCACAGCGCTCAAAGCAGCCAGGACCAAAAAGCGTGCCCAACAAAATGAAATGTCATCATACAGTAGATAACCTCTGAGAAATACTCACGCGATTTTCTTACAGGATGCCAAAGCACAGCAAAGTATATCATTCTCTTCATGCCATTCACACCTTCAGAAAATTAAAATTACACAGCTGATGACCATCAACTAACAGATCTAGGTGATTTACATAGAGTTGAGAACTGTGCTTAACTGATGACTTTTCACATTCCACTGAGGTGGAGAGGACAAAGGAGAAAAGAAAACCCCTACAAAATTCATTTAAAAATCATTAGAAGTTTCCCACTACTGTAAACAGCAACAGTGATTACTCAGTGATCTCAAAGCCCATTGTCTAAGCAGACTTTCAGGCATAGGTATTAGTACATGTGAAAAAAAAAAAAAAACCAACAAATTAAGATCGAATTACTAATTCTTCCTTAAAACAACAACACAGGAAAAGCTGAAGTATTCTTCTAAATTAACTGCATCAGTGCTAAATATTCTCCTACAAACCTCTAACTGCTGTATAAACATATAAGGATCTGGAAGTTGTAAAAACATGACTGTTCAAGACACACAGGGAAAAGAAGAAAAACAACCCTACCAAGTATCTGCATTCTAGCATTACAAAAAGCATTCCTTCAGGGAGCCAAGAGATTTAATTTACTCTTCTGCTTGTTTTCTGCCACTAGAAAGCACACCAAGCTCATCATCACAGCTGCAGTATGAGGTACATAGTAAAAGACAGCTTCTCAAGAGACTGAAACCTCTCACTTGTATGATGTCACAGATCACAGTATATTTTCTTCTTTAATCTTCCTTTAAATCTACAGGCCCAGCATTACAGAGCCACTGGTCTTTATCTTTGGGGGGGGGGGGGGGGGGGAAGATAGTACTTCACATTTCCTGTTGAAGCCATGCTGTGGTAAGAAACCTTTTGATGAGATGGTTTACTGAAGATTCTGCACAAGCCACACGAGGCACCAAGGCACATCAGGACAACAGCCATTTCCACAGAAAAAGAACCCAACATACCTGGTATTACTGGAAAAATCCCACAGGACAACATCTAGCTCTCTAGATACCCAAGTCTTGGATGGCTCCTTATGATATTTCTTCTGGTACAGTTTTATTACCAGATCTTCTACAGTAAGAAGCTCCAGAGGGCTCTCAACACCTACAACTCAGAAGAAATCCACGTCAGCAGAACATTCACCCACTTCTCAGCCAGTCTCTGTTCACTGACCACCTTCTTCTACGAATCTCCAAGTTCACATAAACCTCAACAAATATTCTATCAGTGTCATTATTAAGATCTGGCATCTCAGCAAGGCAGGTCCTACACCCTCTCAGTTTTCTCCACCGTATCTTACCTACAGGCCATCTTTCCTCAGAAGTTGTTAGTTCCTCCATCTATTACCCTACACTCACCTCTCACTTATCTCACTGCTTCCACTGCTCCTTTAACTGGCTGACCAACAAACACCATACGTTGTTCTCTTCACGTGCTCATGAGCCAGTTACGGCTGACCGCGCATTCATGGGGAGGAAGAGAAGAGGCAGAAGCACACACAGCAGTTCTAGCTACCAGTATGAGATTTTATCAACTCATTCTGACAAATACAGCGCTCCATCATCAGATAAGCCTCCTTTCTTGGAGAAACAAAAGCCAAAAATGATTGGGTTCCCACCTGCCACGCTGGCCATTCGTTCAAGACACCAGCTGATTCGGAACCTGTCATCAGACTAGAAAAAAAGAAAGTTTCAGTCACATTCAAGAACAGCCTAAGTGCATTACACAATTCCAATATCTACAAGACCTCTGGCTGCACCTAAAGAAGGCCTTTCCAAAACAGAAGCCCTTGCACACAACCTTCCAAAAAATTACCTTGAAGAGGAATCAAATACCAAGACAGCCTTCCAAGCAAATCTCAGGAGAATTAACTAGACTAATACATGGAGACAAGTTAACAGTTAACATATACTACAGCCATCTCCATTAACTGCTGTATGTTGTTCATATGCACCTTATGTGTGGAGCCCAACATCTAAATCCTCCACTCTTGCTATGAATTTACTAACATTAGGCCCAAGGGGAATAAAACAATTATACTTATAGTCATCACGAGATTTAAATTCCTCTGAACCCCAACGTTTTGTTTGACTCACTGGCAACTCAGTGAAACGAGCAAACATAAGTTGTATGGTATTCTCATGTGAAAAGTCATTAAAGCGTAAAAAAAACCTTAGAGAAGTGAGATTATCTGACTATTATCCAGCACAGTCAAGTTAAGCACAATCTTAAAAACTTCAAAACAGTGTCAGAACATTCTGAAATGTTCACCACTAGACTAAGAACCAGACATGCATGTTGTGAATAAGAAGGCAGAAAACTCTGCCTCTCTGATTTATAAGAAGGCCAGCGTCAATTTCTAACAGCGCAGGAGTTTGTATGGGTAGGTAAGTGGGGAAGCAAAAAAAAAAACAAAAAAACAAAAAAACAAAAAAAAAACAAAAAAAGGAAGTTTGTTTATTTAGGTTCCATATCATTTTTGATCCATACAAAAATCTGGAGTTGATTAAAAAACAAAACAAAAACAGGTTTTGATTGCCAAACTTTCAGGTCATTTCTTCCTATAATGGAACAAGGAAACTTTGGGAAAGAGTGTTTCCCTTCCCACTCCCCCCCCATCCCCATGCAATCACTCATTTGTGCACAGAATATGCAGAAAATGCTTCACAGCAAATTCTCTCCTCGACTGCCCACTGGAAGAGGATTTAGGTTTTGGTTTTGAGTTTTACTTTGACCTCAATCATACCTTGCAGTAAAAACGAGGGCAAACACCTCTGGCTGGCTGGGCAAACTGAAGAAGTTCACGTATGACAACTGGGTAGCAAGTACGCGAGAGATGAAATCCAGATATAGGAATCTTATGAGTGGCCTCACCTAACAAAAGGTGAAGTGGAAAAACTTACGAGAAATTCTGTTCCTTAAAATAATACTATTTCACCCTCCTTTGTAATTTTCATTTATGTATACATGTACTTAAACACACACACACACACACACACACACACACACACACACACACACACA